AAGAACACGTCCTTCTCCTCGGCCTCGCAGCCGGACGGCCAGAACCAGCACATGGCCAGAAGGGAGCACAGGGCCTGAGCAGGCGACTGGTCCCGCATAAAGAGCTCCACTGCGGTGGTGGGGTAGAGGCACGGCCGGGGATCTTCATCCTTCGCCGTTGGAGCCACCATTGGTACGACTACTACCATGCCTCCGCCGGCCACCCCTGCTGCGGTCATTCCAGCCAGATCTGGGTCATGGTGGATCGGGGTCCCCGTTGGTTCCTCCGTCGCTCCTTCTTCTTTTAAAGTCGCTATCTCCAACTCTGCCTTTCCAACTTGTTTACAGTGGAGTGGACTGACGAGAGCAGGCTAGTATTAACTGTGCTGACAGCAGTAAGCTCAGATTATTAGCCCGCTCATGGCCAGATGGCGGCTGATGGGCTTAGTCATAACACACACACACACACACTTGCCCAAATTACCCCCCACAACTCCCACCCGACACACACATAGAGTCGAGTAAAGGAGATTCTCTAAAGTTTAGGGAGGGGATAGCTCAAAGGGAGGCGAGACCATGTTTGAAGAAGATACAACCTAATATCCGCAGGCACGTACCCTATCTTTTTGAAGTCGAGGACACACGATAAGAGATGAAAAAGTTTTTTTCTTCACACATTTTTCAAAAGTGTTAAAACACCTCAGACTCCTGCCGTCCACCGAGAGAGAAGATTGAGACCAGGACAAAAGAGGAAAGAAGAATAGCAAAAATATTACAGTCTCCGAATTGTATTGAAGCCTACATCTTACGCAGAGGCAAATCCTAATAACATCAGTGCTGGAATCAAGTGAATCAGGCCCAAACTGTGCAGTGACAGCCAGACAGCGCACGGCTCCAGTCATAGCTCTCTTCATAAGTCCATTTAAATGCTCTTACTGAAATGTCTGGTCTGGACAAAATGCAAAGAGGCTTAATATGTCTGTCCGCTATTTAACCTTTGGTTTAATGCAAGACGTTACTGTCTGCTATACAAAGTGTCAAACACACCACTGCTATGAGTAGAACAGAAGAATAATGCGGCATTTAATGTAAACCAACATGAAAGTAACAGCGCGGGAGCTTAGCAGCAAACTGTGGCATACGAGGGACAGGAGTGCTGTTTCGTTTGATTTAACAGCCTCAGAAAAAAAAGAAGAAAAAAAATGAACTGCAGCTCCAACAATTTGTTTTAGTACTGATTAATTTAGAAACTGTTTTCTCAATTAATTGAATAATTGGTTAGTCTGTGAAACAAGGTCCAAGGTCCAATTCATTATCATAGCAGACTGAGAAAACAAGCATCTATTCCCTTTATGAGGAGCTGGAAGCAGGAAAACTTTGACATTTTTGCTTCAGGAAACAATGCAAACAATTATTATTAGTCAAATAAAATCAAATAACCACCTAACTGTTCCAGATTGTTCAAGAAACAACCCCCGGAGTGGACCAGCACCAACAAGGCCTCGTCAGATCAGGTCTCATGTCCTTCCATCTGGCTTTTGGGATCACCTGGTCTGCTATAAATGTCGTCATGTATGCGTGAGAACCTGCGACCCACCAAATCCCCATCGAGCCTCCACTCAAGCCTTTCAATTCCCTAAACTAGCGAAGACTAGTGAAGCGTACAGCTCTTCTAATTTTACCTATATGCATCCTGCGACACTTACACCAGCGCAATGCGTGTCAGATCAATTCAATTTGAGGTGCCTCGTGGGAGTTATCCGGGACTGGTTCAGTTGACTCCTGCAATCGATTGGTTGAGCTCATAATGATACCGCAGCATTGCGTTAAACCAATTGCCGTGCCGCTCTGTAGCCAAATGCTTTATTAAGTAACTCACAGGCACGGGAAGCACAATCCTGACGGTAAACAATGCTGTAAACCGGTAAGAACTTCAGCTCAAACACACACATTCAGATCTCTCTCGTGTAATGAGCGCAAATTGGAATGCAGCAGACCTATTAATCAAAGGTAGCCAGTCTACTGAGGCGGCCGATTAAAAGGTGCGACAAGAGGCTTGAAATTAGTCCTTCCCTTCCATCCATCTCTATTGACTTTCATGCGCACGCACGTGTGAACCTATATGCTGATACATGGCTGATTTTCTACCCGGTGACTCGATTTCTTTCTCCCCGCCCCAGAGAACAAACTGATGGCGGCGCAGTGATTAAATCCCTCTCTGCGTGGCTGCAAAAAATCTGATTTACCAGCACCAATATCTCACCCCTGTGTTTTACTTATTTATTTATTTCCCCTCCTTCACAGTGGCTGACTCTCCCTGATGGGAAAGAGAGAGCTTTTTTTCTTTCCCCTCCTCTCTCTTCCTTTTGTGTCTCACATGTGCAGTGACACAAGTGACACAGACACACATTCATAAACCTCCCTCTCACACACACACACACACTTATCTTCCATTCCTTTCTCGGTAAAACACAAACGGCGGGGAGCTGAGCAGCAGCAGCAGCAGCAGCAGCAGCAGTGGTGCAGTGCAGATCCCAGCGCAGTGGGACTGACTCATGTCGCCGGGCAAACAAAAAAGAGAGACGAATAAAGCCAGAATGGAGAGAGGAGGAGAGGGCAGGTTGACCTTTCTAATCCACCTCCTGGCTGACCTCGGGTCAAACGCCGCACGGCATCTTCTGACACGGCCGATTAGAATAAAGCCGCGGAGGCCACGGCAATTAACAATGCTTTCTGGATATTTGGCCCGGAGTTACTATCAATGGATCCCTGATGAAATGGGCACGACGCTAATGCCTGTTCGCTTTTCATTTAGCCCGTGTTGCGTAATGAGCAAGTTAGCCAAACATGCTCTGACAATTGCAATAACAACTACTGTACACGGTTTTGAAGGACGTGAAATCCTAGCCGGTGAAGGTGAATATTCACATGCACACATTGGCTGCTCTCAGGCTGCTTCCAGCCATGTCTGCATCATTAACACATGGCTTTTTTTTTTTGTGCAGTGACCACACACGCTCATTACTGCGCTCAATAAACACCGGCATACACATTTTCCCATATTACGTTACCGCATCGCTGAGGCGTAATTCCCAGCGGGGCAGGCTCACGCTCAGTTTAATGACTTCAATAAAGTCGGTTTACATATCAAAAAAACCTGACCGGATATCCAGAAAGCGGCAGGACAGAAATAGGAACTGCAATCTGCCATAATTCATAAAGAACAACTATCTGGCGCGTTTATAGAAGAGATATTCCTCTAAAGCGGTTTCAGAGGAAGAGGTGTTCTAACTGCAGGGCACCTCGACCAAAGCCAGGACTCTGAAGGCAAAAACAAACGGAAATATGCCACCGAATCCTACCTGTCGAAGTTATTCTGACTAGAAAGCGCTGTAGCTTTTAACCCTCTACACCCACAAAACCAGAAGGTGTGCAACAAATCAACAAAATCTAAGCATAAATCTGTGATGTTTAATTAAACTACTCTTACTCTATGCGTCTCATTTTAAGAAATAAACGTTTTGCGCAAACTAGATTATGTAAGAAACAGAGAATTTTGCGCTCTTTTGAACAACTGTGAAGTCACTAGTGAATCTATGGGGGCATTATTGTAGCAAAACTATTTGTCCATGTCTATGGAGAGTTGTCTGTCTGTATCTCAATCCGAAGTGAGATTTGTCAATGTGTAAAAGAAGTTGTCAATGCAAACTGGAATCTACAAAAGTCGCCTCACAATTTGTCTGTAATCAGGTTTTCAAATGTGTAAAAAATCTGCTCATCTGTATTAAAATTCAGACGTGATAAGAATTGCCAATGCATACAGAGGTATTCGTAGTTACAAGTCAAGCTGCTTCACCATTGGCTGTCCTTTTACACATGGCTTTTGTTACACGTCTGCCGTAAGAGTATCTGAAACTGAAGAGTATCTGAGATTGAGGGTTTCTGTTCCCTGAGCTCAGGCTCACAGGATCGTTCATTCTGGCTGCGTACCATCCTGCTGCTCTGTACCTCAGTAGTTACGCCGCCTGCAAGCCATCATGAAAGTTGTTGCTGAGCGACCCATAAACTCAGCAGTTTGTATAATTAGTGAGGCAACTGCTAAGCCTTCTAAAAAATATATTACAGGTATATGTGAACAATCTGCTACACTGACAAATAGTTTTGCTACAATGATGCCCTCATATGAATCAAGTGCAAGCAAGAGTCACAAGGTAAAAATTCAGCGACTTTTCAGCTGAACTGGACTGAACTGGAGGTTGTGTTTACACAGAGCAAATATGAGACAAGTGTAGAAACAAATGAAAAATGTAAGCAGTAAAATTTCTATATTAAGTAGAGTGTTTTTTCAGTATTGGTAACACCCTGAGGGCACTTGGAAAAAAGTACATGGCGATCACACTTTTAAAAAAAGAAAAAAAAGTGAACTAAATGATCAACTTTTGTTTTTTTCTTTTCTGTGACTTATGGCCTTTTGACTTGTTAAACTGCACAGGAGACATTTTTGAGTTCTCTCCAGTTTTAACCATCATATTTGCTGCATTCACAAAAGTGCAGGACTTTATATTGCACTGAAACATGAGCCCATAGACAGAAAAAAACACCCAGAAACTGGGGTTAAGAGGTTTAATATAATGGTGAAGGTGTGGATGACAAGAGACGATTCAGCTAATGTGCATGTGTGTGTGTGTCGGTGTGTGTGTTTGTGTCAGTGTGTGTGTGTGTGTAGGAGGCGGTGGGAGTGTGACACAGCCTCTTCTCTCAGTCTGCATCCTGTCTGCATGACAGTAATAAGCTGTGTTTATACCGGTGGCTATAATGGAGTATCCTAATTATGGTAATGCTAAGGATTGGTGCCAGTCTGGTTTGTGACAGCCCTGCAGCTGCCAGCGTGAGTGGGCACAAACACACAACACAACACGCACGCTTTGAGTCGCACACGTGCACCTGGATGGAAAGAGACGTACAGTGTCTACAAGTCAACAGAAACCACAGTCTTTGTAGAGCAGCCCAGCCCCTCCTACCTTGCTGTGCTGAACAGGCCTGTGTGCGCAGTGGGAGTGACCATCCTCCAGTCCTACGCACAGAGCCTCGCCACAGTCAGCTGCAGTGCACACATCTGGAGAAAGAGCGAGAGAGCGAGAGAGTCACTGTGTGTCTATTTGTGTGTGACATTGTCTTGTGCGTATACCATCAATTACTACATGTGCCCTATAGTTGTTTTTTTGCTCGAGCACATCCTTCTACTGACCACAGAACACAAACAATGCTGCATAGTTTGAGTCTAAAAGCATCTCGGGCGCCTGCCAGTCGCACAGAACTTAAATATGTCTCCAAACTAAAAATGGCAAGGGCACTCAGTTATCCTAAAAAAAGAAAAATGGAACACACTTGGCAATCCTAATTAAAGACTCTGTTATCTTTTCCCCTGTTTGACTGAAGAAGAAAAAAAAGAACTCTAAAACAATTTTGCAGATAAAGTTTCACTGCTGGCTTCCCGAAAAAAAAAAAAAAAAATCCCTCTAAACAAAATGTATATTTGCATATGAACCATCATTACGCGATGACATTATCAGATAAAGCGAGTGTTTTGAAAACATTTTCCAGACCGTCTACTTCTCATTATATTCAAGGTCCCCAGGACAAACTCTCTAGCAGTTGGCACATGAAAAGACCTTCTTCCTGATTGTAGCCTGGGAGGCAGGCCAATGTGACGGCAGGAAACAAAGGAAAACTTCAGGGCCTCCTGTGGAGCCCAACTTCTCATTTTTAAGCTGGCAATCATTGTCAACAAACGTCTGACGGCTCGAGCGGAGTTTCTAAAGATATCTAGTCATCTGCCTTCACTTCCCTTGTCTTATATGTTTGCATCAGGCTGAATGAATGCCAGATGACAGACATCTCCCTTCTAGGAACGCCATCATGAGGTCCTTTTGTAATTCGTGTCAGACAAGTGTTAATTCCCCCAGTGTCGGCATTTATCTCCCTGCCTCCTCATCAGCCTGCCTGGCGTCATGCGCCCTCTAGAGACGGAGGAGAGAACTGCAGGCTGCTTTGATCGCACCAATTGCAGTAATGACGCCTTCAAGTCATTAATCCCCTTGTGTTCAATTATGGCAGTAGCGGAGGAGGCGTTGATGAATTACTATCATTAAGATGACACTTAACACTTTCTCTGAAAACTCAGCTTTTTCCATTTGACCGTTTTTATGCCATAATGAAGCCACAACGTGTTCTGTACATTTCCCCTTCTACATGTGAAAGCCAGCGACAGGAAAGAGTTTGGTAGAGTTCCTTTAAAAATCCTCGTTGTTAGCAGCGTGGCAAAGTTCACATCATGAATCTGCAATATTCTGTGTTTAAGTCTGCAAGTCATATCCTTCAGTTAACAACCGCTAACTTCTAAAGAGGAAGAACACAATAAAAAGCCCCTTAAAAGTATAATTGTTTGAAATTTGTTACTTTTTGCTCCGTTTAAATGTCTGAACCAAAAGCAGTTTCCAGGCATCTTTTGCTCCCATCGTTTTCTTTACTCACTATAAGCTCATTTTTCACTGCAATGTAAAGTCCTGCATCTCTATGGAAACAGCACAACCATGGCTGGAAGCAGAGAGAGCTCACAAATGTATACTGTGCTGTAGGATACAGATAAAATAAATCCTAAAAGAGAAAAAAAGTTGAATTTCTTTGATTATGTTGCAATAATTGGAGGAAAAACCTCTGTAACCGGCATGTACAACATTTTTTGAAGTTCCCACACATCACCAACAGGGGAAAAATGGTGACGCTACATATTAGAGATATTTTATTGCTTTCATTTTAATTATTTTCCATCTTTCTGTCCCCAATCCGCTCCGTGTAAAGAGCGGCCTGAAGTTGAACCCAGTGCAGCTGAAAAGTCCCTGAATGTTTATCACGTTACTGCGGGTCACAGCTGACTCACTCATCTCTTCACAGTTGCAACAAGGAGTACAGAGTTTTGGGTTTTTTTACACTCTGATTAGTGCAAACAGTTGATTTTTGGGTGAATATTAAAACTAGACGTGGAAAAAATGATGAAACATCAGAATTTTAAGCTTCGGTTTGGTAACACAGAGTCGTAGGTTCCACGTGATGAGTTCAATGACTGTCAGAAAGATGAAAAGCCTTCACTTCTCTGTTTCTGGCTCTGATAAATGGCTCAATTTTCTGCAGTTTCTTAAAAGCTAAGCAACCTTTTGGCAGGTTTTGGGGTTCACAGGGTTAAGACCTCCACAGCTTCGACAACAGACCATCTCTACACTTCTTTTTTTTTTTTTTTTAACTCGGGTGTTGTCATGACAACGCAGTCTTTAATCTCATCTACTGCGAGACAAAATAGCTAAAAAATAGAATTAAATTCTTGGCGAGAGCACAAACATATTTCTTTGGTTGAATCTCTCTTACCTTCACAGCAAGGACTCACTAACAGTATTTCTGTGCTAGCTGGGTATCAGCTGTGTTTGTCCGGCGACACCGACGACCCCACTGTTCTGACACCTCGCGTCCACGGTGACACTGAACCAAGCTGACAGGATACTATACATTCCCAGCGATAATGAGCCCTCTGCGGTCAAAAGCCCCTCCTGGCCTTTCCTCTGCTCCGGGATACACAGAGCTGTGAAACTTCATCTGGAGCTTTTTGCTACTGCTTTCTCTTTTTTTTTTTCTTTCTTACTTTTTCTTCTCAGAGACCAGACACTTTGCATCTTTTCAGGAAGTGGAGATGTTAACTGAAACGGAACATTGGTGGCTGTCTTGTGGCTGATGTGACAAAACTATCTTTACTCTTTACGGTTAGTGCGAGCAGCTGACCACGAGCAGTAACTCTTAGGTTGGCAAAAGCACCGCTATTTCAAATCAGACCCGCAAGACATTCAGAAAACACAACAAAACAAACGAAGGAGTACCTGACTAAACTGACAATTTTGAACAGAAACAGCTTGCTTTCAGAGAAAACTGTTAAATTGGTGCCTTCGTACGTACGAAGAACTGAGAAAGTGCAACCTCAGTGGGCGTGCCAGGTTCTCACATTATGCTGCAGCTGAAAGTTCTTTCTCTCTCTTAGACCATCTGTCACACACAAGGCAAGCTAAAAGCGAGTCAACAACAACTTCACTTTCAATTTTAGTCTTAAGTGTTTCCATGAAGTAAAAATCGATAGCCTCTTAATACAAAAACATCCCGCTAATGACTACACCTACATGTGTGGTGTCAGGATGTGTGGGTTAAACGTGCACATGTGGATTAAAGCACCTGAGGAGGACTTGGCTCGGTGGTGCTTGCTGCGAACCTCCTGGTTGTGTTTGCACGGAGCGGCCGGGTGGTCCAAGGCCCCGGTTGGCGGCGGGGGGCCGTCCCGCCTCAGGCTCAGGTGCAGGGTTTGTTCGGCAAACAGTGTTTGGATCAACGTCAGGTCCAGACCAGACACACACCGGCCGTTCAGCACCAGGATCTCGTCGCCTGGGCGCAGACCTGCAAACACAGTGTGGGTCAGAAAAGAGGAGCAAAAGAATGTTTGGTATTGTTTGAGACATTTTTAAGTAAGTCTGCACCTTGGTTGAAGGCCAGTCCATCAGGAAGCACCTCACTGACAAAAATCCTGCTGTTCTTCAGGCTGTCTATGTGTCCTGTTATTGCAAAACCTGACAAGCAGAGTACAACAGATGGATTACATAAAGGATGACAAAGTGCACGTAAAGCTACAGCAACAACCCGACCATATGCTTCCGACTCACCGAAGTCTCCGGTGCCGCTCGGCCTGCTCATGTGCAGCGCAAACACATTACCCTGGACAACTTCCAGCTGATCATTGACCTACAGGGCGACATCAAACAAATCAATTCAAAGAAAGAGCGGACGATTAAGAGCACTGTGTACCCAAGCGCGTGTTTGCCTCCCCTCACCACGTCGCGGAGGAGCTCGCCAGGTGCCACGTATCGAACCTCCACGTCCTGCCCCGCTCGCCTGTGCAGTCGGAGGCAGTGCAGGCCCGGGTCCAGCTGTTTCACCTGTTTACACAAGAGTCCCCGTAATGTTCAGCAGCCTGCATGCACAAAATCATTCGACATATTTCATGCACCAACGCTCGGCCCGACAGCTGCTGCGCGGCCGAGGTGTGAATTATTCACTGACTTTACGCTTGGTGATGAGGAATTTGCAGTAAACAAAAATGCTTCGCCCAAGGGACCGCGCATACGTCGTGTGTACATGTCCATCTATCTGCAGTCATTCTTGAGGGACCGAATGAAGTCAGGCACCGGATGAATTGGTGTCACTGTAATCCCTTGCGAGCGCGGTGCAGCCGGATCTGACGCTACAGATGGTTCAGAGAATATTATTTGACTATTAACGAGCTCACACTTGAGGAAGCTGAGATATTTTTATTATACCCGCATTTCATTGTATTCGCGCATGACCGAACACCCTCATTCTCACCATGAACATAAAATTCCGCGAGACAACTAAATCCAAATGACACGAGCGCTTCTGTTTTGCTTTTTTTTGCGCATCAGCTGTCAGGAATATTGTTCTCTCATTGCAGTGGCATGTCATCATTTCTGTGAAATCCAACCTTGCAGGCTGCGCAGAGAAGGTCAGCGGCTGTCTGGTCTCTTCTGACGGGAACTTGGACTGTCAGGCCGTCTGGCATGTAGACGCACGTCAGCACGTCTGGGGCAACGCCGATGCTGTCCCAAACGCCGCCCTCGGGGGGCGACATGGAGTAGATGCTGGCCAGCACGTCCAGTCTCTGCACAGGAGGGTAAGATAGGGAAAGGAGATAGAGTGAAGTGGAGGAGCAGCATCACATGTAAGAGAGAGTAAGTAGAAAAAGGGGGAAGAAGGAGGTAAACAGAGAGAGAGGGAGGGAGCGTGTGAGAAAGAGCTGTAGACTTTGAGTAACAGCAGCACACAAATCAATAGAGTTCCATTAGTCTAAATGCTTGGCTGCGGATCAAGCAGCGGAGCAAAGATGTCATACAATTAGCCTTTCAGAAATTCATTTGACAACATAGACGGCAGTTGCTCCATATAATAGTCATCATAATGACCATGTACACAAGAGGATTGGCAAGGGTCGACTGGCAGGTCTAGACGTCCAGATGATATCGCTTCTCCAGGACTTTTTTTTTTTTTTTTTTTCTAAAAGCCACAAGAGCAATTTCGACTTAAGTGATGCATCGGGACAATTTATTTCAAACTCAGTCAAACTTTCAGGAGGTAATTATGTGTTGCGTTATTTGTGGCATTAACAGTGAGGTTTGAGTGTGGTATTAAGGTGGGGAGGAGGGGGGGGGAGGCTGGCCTCAGCGCTCGGCCTCACAGGCAGCCATTAGGGGGTTTTGGTTGCGACTCGCTGTCTCTGGAGGAAAAAAACGCCACTGCTGCGATGTGGGGCTGTGGGAGACACCACAGTGCAGCCTGAGACCACAATTATCACGGCCCTAGATCACGAGGAGAGGCTCGATCGCACCAAAATGTACTAAAACACATGGGCTGAAGACGCCAGTGATTCAGCACTTCTGACAAAGACGATATGAAGTCTCGGTTAAACTGAGACGTGGGACCAACTGGGATAATTGCCTTAGTGAATAGGTCGGGGGGATACAGTGATGTTTCAAATGCATTATGGGATCATAAAATGGAAAGTGGTGTGTGTGTGTCTGAGGATTTCTGTTTGATGTGTGTGAGCCTCTCTGTATATTTCAGAAGCTGGCTGCTTGCTGTTGATGAATCACCTCAAAAGGAAAAAGACCTTCTTCCCTGCCAGACAAAAGGCCTAAAGGGACAAACTAAAGGCTCTGATTCAGAGCATCACTTAGCTCCTCACACACGAGCAGTGTTCTGCGTTTAGCTATGATAAACACAAACATTTGCCTCATTTTCCATCTGAATATCCCCTTGACTAGTCTACGTCAGGAGTCGGTGCCAAAATAAAAGCCACCAGTGTTCTTACCAAAACCTGCCAGAGTAAAGGAACACAAGGTGCCACTTCAACACCCACCTTCTGCCTGCACCTTCAGGGATGTGAGGTCATGCTTGCAAAGTGAGGATGACAAATAAAAAAACAAGCCATCATGGCAACTGGTTGCATAACCGCCCCGTTTGTGTCCCAGGCACGTTGGCGTGACCGGAAAAATAAGATTTGGTTTGCCTGCGCTGACCTTACCAGCGGCTGACTAACACTGTACACTCATTCAGACACGGGAGAGGGTTGTAACGGGCCGACGGTTGCCTGGTCAACGTTCCACCGGCCGCTGCCAAGAGTACAGTCGAGGCACGCGCTGGACTTTCAACAAGTGCTCTGTGTGGTGAGCGTGTGTGCGTGCTATTTATGTTTGCGCTCAGCCAAATCATTCAATACTTCAGTCTTTCCTCTCGAATGTGGAAATTATTTCCGAGCGAGCAATCCTCCACCCCGGAGCTTCTAAACATGGAACGCGGAGTAACGGCCGGTTAGTGGCTGCTGCACAAAAACACCCTTTCTGTTCCACTTGGCAACGCAAATATTACGGTACTGCCACGAATAGATAGGCCGACCGCGATGAAGTAGCTGAAGACATCTCCCTGTCTTCTAACTATTAAAAGAGCATTACTTCCTTAAAGCTCTACCCAAGGTTCCTCTTTCCACCATTATAACACACTATTCTTCGCAGTTACACACACACACGACAACCGAACACCTCTGACAGTCACTTGGCCAGAACTTCAGAATTAAAACATGTGTATTCACAGGTAGCCGAGCGTGGTGAGAGGCGGTGGCACAGAAACAGGGGAGATGATAGGGCGCTGGTCATGAGCCAGAGAAATAAAAAATAATGGAAAAGGAAAGCACTTGTCTCGAGTATTTCATTCTCTCTGGGGAATGCCGGAGGAGAGGAATATGAAAGGGAGGAGAACTAAAGCTCAAATTTTAACCCTTTACCACATTTCCATAAGCATGAGCTGGAATTTACTAAACAAAAGCAGCCACATAACACATCGGTGCTCACTTTAAATATGCAAATTGCTCAAAACGAGTGTGAAAATGTATGCGTCGTGTTCGAGCAATCGCTGTTTGAGCAACACAAGTGAGGGCCGTCATTATTTCCTGCAGTCAAAACACATCGAATCGCTCCGGCGCTGACAGAACGAGTGGGTGGATGGAGGGTTTGAAGAGCAAACCAAAGCTAGTCAATGAGCTTTAACCTCTGCGGAGGCCAAGGCAGCTAAAGCACCGACAAGTCCAGCTCATATATGTCTCTTTTCTCCTTAATCGAGCTACAGCGAGACAAGGTCAGCACATCCTCCGCCTGCTCGGGAAAAAAAAAAAAGCTGGCTGGTTGAAATTGTGCAGGAAGGATGGCAACTACACGCACTAACACATACTCGCTGCACAGGAGCTACGACGAAGTTTGGGCACACACTCGCACAACAAACCTACCCTTCACTTGACTTCACTGCAAAGGATTAGCAGAAGATGACTGCTTATTAGAGTAATTCAAGGGATTTGAGACCCAAGCAGCACAACAGGCGCAAAGTCATCAAGAGAGAACTGAAGAGCTGTACGCGTCGACAAAAATCAATGTGGCTGTGCTAACCTCTCTCTTTTCGTACTTCCCACCCTGAGGAGTCTTAATCCCCTCTGAATCAAAATGGATCCCCGCGATGAGCCGTTTTCCACATTCACGCCCAAATCGAGGAGATTTAAACACGAGGAGGGGGGGGGGACGCCACCACATCTACAGTAACATTAAAGCGGCGACCTGATGAAAGCCATTATTGTATTGCCAGACCACTTCCTGTTCTGCGTCCCTTTCCAGACCCTTAATGAGGGCACTTTTAACACTCGCCACATTGACCACAGACTCACACTGTGAATCACTGCATCCTGTGAAACAGCGATCTTCGTAACTCTCATCCCGCTCTGTCTAAAAGTGTCCTTTATGCTTAACTGTCGGGGCCACATTTCATCAGGGAGCAGGGCCAGTCTTAGCCTGCTGCATCAGGGTGGGCTCGTAGGAAAACTGGGTGGGCAACTAGGCCCGATTGTAGTACAGAGGTTGGAGAAGCCAGTTAAGAATCGGATGGTTGCAGCCTGTAAGTAAGGTGTTGGCATCCCTTCAGTTATGCAGTGGGACCGTGGGTGCTTTTAGCTGTGTTTCATGCTCTTAGACGCTCTGTGCAGCCTGTTATTTCAAACTTATTAACTTTTAATTAGGTGGGCATGAAGCACGTTTGGGTGGCCTGAACTCACCCCATGCCTTCAGCTGCCACCAGTCAGGAGGGTACATTTTGGGTCATCTGGGGTCATTGGAAACAAGCTGAATGGACATATTAGCACCAAATGAATTCGATATTGCTATAATATTATCAAATAGTCACCTACATGTGCTGTCGTGCTTCTGTCTACCCCACATTCACTGTTCTTTCAGCTGTGGTCGACATGGTCTAAACGCTACATTATGTTCTCCACACTTTGCCTGTCTGTTGTCTGGCACTGGATAGGTAGTGTTCAGTAGCTTATAAGAGCTTTCTGTTGCTAAAAATAGCTGCTGGCTCCGGCTGAAACCAATACTGTGAGAAAAATGAGGGTCCAACACAATCAAAGTGTGGGCTAGAAGACCAAAACAATGAAGTAAGAGATGCTGCAAAGAGCTGAAGTGGCACTGCGGAAAGGGATCAAAATGATTGGTGGGTTTGCCACTAGGAGCAAACCTTACCACATGGAAACCTGCATTTAAACTAGCATTAATATAAAAATATTGATCGTAGCAGGTTTAAGATTACATGGTTTTTCACCTCAGCAGGAGCTGATTCTTGTCAATAAGCGGGTTTCAGTTTAAATCATACCCCTTTGTATTGCAGTGTAATTACCCGTAAGCAATCCCCTGCTGTCCTGACGTTAAAATGGGGAAATAAAAAAGCCTGATCAGGAGGATAACGAAATGTAGAAGCCTGAGGATAGCGAGGTGTGGAGGCGACGCTTACAACAGTCTTTGGTGACGCAGGCATGTAAGCACCCCATAACATATAAATGCTGCCTTTCCAACGTCTGGCTGGCCAGAATTCACACTCGCTAATCGTCCAACACTTTTCCATACGCAGAAACACTCAACAACCTGCATCACCTCGATTATGGCATGAATTGGACCCCTGTTCACACAGAGTTTTTACAAGGCTCTAGCATGGTTAAATGCTCCCGTTAGTTATGCATTCTATTTATCTTGCAGACACCTGCAGATCAACATGAAAGGAGTCTCCGCTTTGATCCTGGACCTGTAATACATCCAGGCAGACACACACACGCTTTCTGATGCCCTCACATACACCCTTCAGGTGTAAAAATATCTTTACACAGTCCACTATCAAAGCCATGAAAGGCAGCAGAGGTCAAAGCAGCGGCAGATCTGCTTCTTCCATGGCTACTTCGCGCCGTAACCGATAATTGTTCACATAAAACGCTGCCACAAGGAAGACTGTGACAGATGGCAGTGGAATTTTTAAGAGATATATCAAAGATCCGCAACCCGGAACGGGCAAAGTTACGGAGTTCTCTGACTCACCTCAGTGCTCCTGGGAGGCAGGGCGTACGTTTGACCTCCAGCGTCGCTCTCAAAGATCTGAAATCAAGAGACAGACAGTCAGAAGTGCAGACAGAGGGGCACCACGCTGATTGACTCATGAGCGATTAAGCGCCTCGCCACTTCAGCAGCACAATATTAGACGCACCCGGTGCCGTTTTGTAGTTAATTAAAAAGTACACGTGGCGAGTGCGGCGCTTTGATGCCGCGTACAAAACGGGGGTGTGCAGCCTTGGAGGGCGCAAGGGTGGAAATATGCTTTGTGGGTGTGTGTGTGTGTGAGTGGACAGTGTGGTTTCTGTGTAGGACAGAGATGAAAGAGGGAAACCGTCGGACAGCAGATGAAAAGGGGACAAGCGCTCCCCCCTACTATATCAACTTCAGTGTTGAAATCTCTTGCTCCTTCATTCGTTCTGGCTTGCTCGGCCCTCTTCTCTCGTGCTCCTTGGGCTTGTGAGGCGTCCGGCTGACAAGTCTGCTGGAGGTGACTCTGCAGCAGACTTCAGCAGCTCTGTATTACAGCGATGACACAGAGCTATCAGTTATGTGAGGGCGTGACTCCAGCCCTCACTCCAACAGGCTGCAGTTATCAGGTTATGCTCTGACGGACATGCAAGATGGCATCTTGTTCTCAGAAGGGGTCGGACACACTCAAAGGTGGTTGGTGTTACAGAATGAAATGAGCTCAAGCTGGATTTTCTGCAGCTTTTCTTTAGAGCATGTACACCACTGTGACTTAGACAGGCTATGTCTTTTCCTAGGATCAGAATCTTCCAAAACAATCCCAAGAAACACCCTTTACAATCAGAAAAAAACTTTCTAGCTCCTGTTATGGTAATAAGAAAACCTCGTCTGACTCCTGATCAGTAGACTATCTCCCTCGCCGGCGCGAGTACATTTATAAAGTGGCTGTAAACAGTGCTGCTTCGCCGTAAACAGACTAATTTTAGAAAGCTTTACCAACTCTCCCACAAATCCTCGGACCTTTCTGGCCTACTTCCCACAGCCGACTGCCGGCCAGCTCCTTACTGTATACATAGCACTGCTAAGACGGATGAGAGATGAGGAAACAAGAGGGAAGGAGGTGGTGGTGTGTGTGGACGGGGGGAGCATGACTTTGGGGCAAGGTTGCGGAGCACGGCGTCGCAGTGGTAAATGGGATTTAGGCTTAGTCAACACAGATGAGTCAGTATGGAAACTGTGGGAGAAGGACCGCCGGGTAGCACTCTGATGTTTATGCTCAGAGAAATGGGAGGTTTGAGAGAAGAGAGAGCGAGGACGCGACTGGAGGGAGAAAAAAAAAAACGAAAGACAAATGTAAGAAAAATTGGGGGAAGAGAACAAGATGAAGGTTTAAGAGATTAAACAAGCAGGGGGAGAGGAAGACACTAAAAGATAGTGTGTACGAGTTTGGGAAAAGGGGGAAGGAATGTAGAGCAAAGGGGGAACAAATGCAAGAAATCCCAGAGAATGCACAAAGTGAGAACAACAGTTTAAACACACGGAGGAGAGTTTGGCTCGTCCAAATCCCGCTGAAGCAAAGACGCGTTTCTCGTCAGCGCCTCCCGACAGAACAGCCGAGGAGCTGATGATGTCATTTCAAACGGCTGAATTTCCCACGGAGAATAGCAGGAAAGCGAAACTGACGCCGCACATGATCTCTCAATCTTGGAGGGGGAAAAAAAAAAGAAACGGCAACACAAAAACAGCAGATGTCCGAGGAAAACCCGGCATTCTGAAAATCCCTTAAAGCACTTAGCAGCCATTAACTGTTCCTTATTAGCCTTAAAAGACAAAAATACCACAAAAAAAAAAAAAGGAGCTTGTAAGAGAAAGGAAACCTGGGGGGGAAAAAAAAGTATAAAGGGGGAGGCTGTTTAATATTTAGCGTCTTTACACCAACCATCTGCTGAAGTCTGCGGGGCTGAGGAAAGAGTGGAGAATGCCATCTACCACATATGGCTTTTAATAATTCATGTGTGTGCTGCAGCGCCACCTCGGCCTTCTGCACTGCGAAATTGTGACTGGGCCTCATTAGGCTGGCTGGCTGGCTGGAGTTCCCCGGAAAAAAAAATAATAACACGCACACATACCTAGCCGCTGACAGACGTGCACAAATGCACCAACACAAATATCACAGAGCAGGTGGTGGGATAGATGGGCTTAGATAAGAGCAGGCCAAACAGGACAGGGAGCATTTTGTAAGCGGTCAGGTCTCACCTACTGAGGGATGTGATTGGATCTTAGCTGTGCAAGCTCAGAAACAATAATGACTTCACGGCGTAAAAGAAAAATGAAGGTTCACTCGTCTTCCCCTTTTACAGAGTCTCAGCTAATAAACAGAAGATCCATAAAAGAGCTGAGTAAATGAGCGTTTCTCGTGGCGATTCCTAAAAATAGACCACGAAGAGTAGAGTATTCTCCAGCGCTTGCACCTTCCTGGTACAGAGAGGTGGATTTCTGTATCAATAAATAACCAGCCCGCATGAGTCTAATTACTAACCTGGGAGGATTTTTGCCTTCCCTCTCCTTCTGCACCTGGTTAAGGAATGCTCCCCTGTGTTTATGTTGATGGGGGGGTTTGCACTCAAAACTTACAGGAAAGCAGAAGGGATGTGAGCTTATGTGCTTTTAATTAATAAAAAACTCCTCTGGGTGTTAAAAAAAAAAAAGCATGTCTGTAAAAAATCTCCTCGTCAAAAAAATGCACACGCGAGCGAGCAACAACGTGTTTCCAGGTTGTTTTATTAATGAGCATGCACGGATCAGGAGGGGTTTTTCTCAGCAGTTTGTCCCGAGAGAACCGACATACATGCGTGTGCGGCGTATGTCAACACGGCAGACACGCGTGAAGCGGGCGATCCCGCATTAAGGATCTGCTAATCCAGACCACCTGAAGGGTTTTCATTACTCAGGGGGATTCAGCGGAGATTATTTGGTGTCACTTCAAGTCCTAAGTGCTGCTGTCAGGCTTTTAAACACACACAAGAAAAGCAAAGATACTGACAAAGTTCATTATGCAAAAAGATTGCATAATGAACTTTGTCATCTCATTACCGTCCCGGAATGTTCGTTTAAGTGATTGCTCATAGGCTCGCTACGAGTCACATATTAAATTCAGTTTCATCCAAGTATAAAGTGACACAGAACGCAGGAAGCTTAAATCTACATAAGCAAATCTAACGCACAGTTTTCTTAAAGACTCCATCTGGGTTTTTTAACTTGTGAATATCATTATGTGGTGATTTTTTGTTATGATGGAGGACATATGATGATGAAATAAGCAGTCAACAGCATGACTGAGCATAACCACATTGTACTGATAGCCGTGTCGCTGCATAACTGTCAAGTGAATTTGAAAAAAAACTTGTAAAACGGTACAAAAAAAATGAAAAAGGGAAGCTGCAAATTAAGACTCGTTTCCGCTAACTGCTTCGGGGCTGTGTAGTGTCGTCAGAAGCCGGCGGTTTGGGCTACATTACACATACGTTTAATAAAAAAGTGTAGAAGAAGCCAGAATTAAAACTAATGGTTGGCCATCTGCGTAAAAAACCTCAAAGAGGAAAAAGAAACAAACAAAAACTTGGGCCACCTACAAGAGAAAAATGGAGGAAAGTCTTCAGAAATAGTTCTCTGTCGGGCAAATTGTAAATATTCTGTCATGCTAGTTGCTACTGAACATGTTTCATGTTGCCCGGAGACAAAGACAAAGAAAGAAGAGGAAACAGACATCAGTCATCTGAGTTAAACGATCGTCATGTCACAAGTTAATCAAAAAAAGTGTTTCCATCTCCCAATATGTGTCGGGAAAAAAAGAGTAAAAAAAATAAAAATTGCAGGTTTTTTCAAATGTTTCTGTTTCCATTAATCCTTCCTAATGTAATACTTTAAAATGTGCAGGGAAAATGTTAAGCAAACACTGCTAATGGCACGGAAAAACAGATTCAGAGTTTCATACGGAATAAATTTTTGACCGTGCAGGGCGAGGGCTTTCTGTATCATTCATCTTCTTCAGAATCAGCTTCCTTTTGGAACATGTATGGTTGAATTACTCCAATATTGCAACTTGCTATTGCTTAGCACAGAGTAGTTTCATAGTATTAGAGCAGAGTCGTAGGGGAGCTGGTGTGCTTGAGCTGCCATGAGAGGGAAGAAGTAAATATATAGTGAGTGGAGAAAGAGGCGGGGACTTCATACGTCTATGCATTCTAGAGGATGCAGTGTGCAGTAGCTTAATCACGGCTCTATGTAGACACACTGAGCTAAGAATTTTATTGCCCTTGTTATTGCTGCACATGACAATACACCTTTGAGCTGAGCTGAGTGAAATTGAACTGGGTAGAGCCACACATCTAAGCCATTTTAAGCATGACGGGATTATTTTCATGGATATAAACTTTGATATACGTCACTCTAATGCACAGAGAGGAGTTTTGAGGGGTTAAATCAAGACATTATGGAGCCTTGACCCCAAGAAAAAATGACAATAACTTATTTAACGTAGGTTCATTTCCTTTTATACTTTTTTTTTGCCTTTATTTGATAGTACAGTCAAGAGAGAGAGACAGGAAAGTGGGATGAGGGGGATGAGCGAGACTCGAACTCATGACCTCTGTGTTTGGGACTATAGACCCTAAACATAGGACACCAGCTCATCCAGATGAGCTACAGCAGCGCCCCACAAATTTTTCATCACTTGATGTTTCTGAAAAATGGTGACGATAAATCATACCCAAATCTGTGCAGCTGTGTGTTCAGTAATACCTGTGATGCAGAGGGTCTCTTGTCGCGGCCTCTCTTCGTCAGGTTGTCGAGGCCCTTCAGCGAGGAGAACAGGCCTCTCTTGCGCTGTCTGTAAGTCAGGGACAACGACCGCCTCCTGACCGTGGCCTCGTCTCTGGAACAGATCTGAGCAGATACACAGTATCAGGACTGCAATCGTTCCACCCAGCAAAAAAATTCCATCTAATCAAAGCATCTTAATTAGGTTTATTTTCCTCCAGTAAAAGGGGACGGGATCGAATGATTAAAACGTTTTCAAGGTTGCTGTTAGACATCAAGCCAATCAAAGCTGAAGTGTCACACAAGGATCGCTACAAAGCATCCAAACAGGATGCAGCGCTGATTTCCTGATTCTTCATTCTGCATCAGTTCACTAGTCATTCCTGTCCTTCCGCACGGCTTCCTTACCAAAGCGTGGAAGGAGGAGACGGAGAAAATCCCCAGGCGTCCCAGGGTGGTTTTGGTTGGGCGGCTGGCGATGGCTAGCAGGCTCTTTGGGTTGGGCAGCTCTCCGCCCTGCAGACTGGCGAGGTAGCAGCGCATCCTGAACAGATCCATGTTGAACCTCTCCAGGTTCTGCTCCCACTGCTGGATCTGAAGGGGGGGAAAAATCAAAGCTTGGTTCTGAATGTGAATCGAGTTTTCGGATGGTGACTGAGCGAGGAGAGATGAGGGGGGGAAGCAATGGAGGGAAATAGGCGAGGGGGGGTGGTGGGAAGAGAGAATCAAAGAGGGAGATCCAGGGTCAGTCGAGTGCTTTCCTTCAAGCTGAAATCGCTTGCAGATGTTGGTGGAGGGTAAGGGCATAACTTTGGAGGAGGTTTGATAGTGAAGGATGACTGCATATCAAGCAGAGGAGTGTGTGTGTGTGTGTGTGTGTGTGTGTGTGTGCAGTGAATCTAAATGCCCCCTTTTTATGTAAGTCTTGAGAGGCTGGTGATGTTACACAGACCACCCGTTAAACCTTCACACACATTCACACAGTTTACAGTTGCCTTCCCCCTATCCCTGTTTGCACTATGTAAGCTATAAGAAAGTGCTTATTTTGTTGGCTGGAGACCGGTTTTAATGAGAACACTCGGTTAAACAACCCTCCATAACAACTGGCTTTAATAGGTCTCGTCTGCGCTGTGAGTTCATTTACAATAACGCACCCTATGGTGTTGTCCCATTAGCTCTCACTCACGTTGATGGCATTCTTTAGGATTAGGAGCAAACTGAGAAAGGTCCACAGGCTGGGGTTTTATGAACCTGACTTTTTAAACATCTTTTTAAAGCAGACATGACTATGGGAGCCGTAGGAGAGGAGAGAAGCCCTGATGTATGTAACTGTGCAGGTGGCCTCAGTTAACAAGCTTTGAGTCAATGACATTCAAACATTCCTCGTCTAGATTTGAACCATTAGGACATCAGCAAGGAATCCGCAAGCTTCGGTTAAAAATGGCCTCGCATTTGGCGAGCCACTAATCTGTACTATTGCACAAATCAAACACAATCAACAGAGCGAGGAACTAAAGAGCTGACGTTTCTCTGGATACGGTCACTTTTGAAATACATTATTGTCTAAAAAGCATAAATGTTGTTGCCAGTTCTCCCCTTTGTACAATATTTCTCTATGAGCTCCACGTTACTGCTAATTGATGGTTTTTGCATTCCCGAGCACTTACTGATATGGACTGTGACAGCAGACATGAGGCAAGCAGACAACTCCCCTCATATCGAACACAGAAATACAGAGAGCACTGCTGTGGATGTTTCTGAAAGGCCGGCTTTTTGTATGTTGTTGCTGCAGCTTCATGTCAGTGTGATTATTCCTGAGTTCTGCTGGGAGGAAATAGATTTCTGGAGAACTTTCCACTCTGTTTGGACATTGTCGATGAAAAGCAACACATCAGAGCATCTCCACAGTCCAGCACCGACTACTTCAGATTGTTTTAATGAGTATTTGTGAAGGTGTTGATGACAGAGGATCTCCTTGCATGGCTTCTCCTCATAGCAAGCACCTGTTTCGAGCTCCATTTGTTTTCAACTTGTCGCATGTACAAATTTTGGGCGAACATGCAGAAGGAACCCTTGTGGATGTGGGGACACAAAACACACGCTTTGATCTTTAAAACCAGACTGCGCAACTTTTGGAAGAATTAGTGACACATTTTTCTTCACAGAAATGAAAACTTGCATTTCATGTCACTTCTAATCACTCAGAGATTTTAACCGCCTTAGCCTCACTTAGTCTGCTATGACCAGAAGCAAATTGTAGAGAGATAAAGCCGTGCAACAGTCATCACTGAGTCACTTTGCTAACTACATGACTCCTCTAAACTCGTGTCACTGTTCCACTGTGTTTTAGCCTTTAGCATCATCCTGTAATTGTCACTTACGGCCACCAGTCAACAGAAATTACAGAGGTTCACTTAAACTCTACGCTGTAACTCTAATTAGCAGCAATCAGTATGCACTAAAGAGGGATTATGTGTGGCTATACTCTCCAAAAGTGATATTAAACAACTTTTTACAAGCGAAGGGTGGAAATGGCGGTCACGTACAATGTTTGCACGGTTGCTACCTAAACATGATTTACCGCCGACACGTGGGTGACTCCAGCGTTTTAAAAAAGAAAAGTCGAGAGTCACAAGGCCGTCCTGTCTGGTCTAATTCTTGGTGTTGCTTGAACTTAAGGATCTTGTTCATAAATCCTCTGATGTAAGTGGGGAAAAGCGCCGTTTTTTTATCCTGCTATTCTTGGGTCATTACATAAAACACAGTGTTCTGGAGGAACTTTGATTTAATTCCACTGAGTAGTTTGAAGATGACTTTAGATGGGGATGGAGGTATTACTGAGGGAATCAGATAAGCTCCTTCCTCAAAAGCAAAAGACAAATTTAGGGAGAGTTGGCGCTTTGGAAAAAAAAATAAAAAATTCATGTCTAAGTATAACTATCACACAAGATCCTCGCATGCTTCTGATTTACACGCCATCTGGATCTGTTTGTCAACACTCGCATATCTGTGTCTTCATTCAGGGATGTCTTAAAATAGTCCTGGGCATAAAATTCGATTTGATGATTCACGCTACGGTGCATCACTGATGAAGAGAATTTTTTGATTAGGCCCTATTGCTTCATGCGTCAAGCTGGCTAGAATCAGCGCGGCGACACAATCGACCAGCCTCAGAGAAAAGCACGGCGTGTTCGGGCCCATCTGGCCTGAGCACACAACTTATTTACACCCATTTCAGGGCTTCCTTTTAACAGATTCTCATCTTTTCTTATTCGCCTCTTTAACATCTGCCCCCTGCTCTCTTTAAAAGCCCTAATGCATAATAAGTCTCTCAATGCAACTTGATCACATTGTGTGTGTGTACGTGAGTTTGCAAAAGGGGGCAAAGGCAGACTTCAAACAAGGTCTGCTGGCACTGATTTCAGTACACATGGGTGGAGTGGGGGGGTAGGCGGGGACATCAAAGTAGTGCCCTGTTGGTTCTAGACAGCCCCACCGAAACCTTAAATCTATCAACAGCCTCAAGGCGCCTGTATCAGAGTCCTGGTCCATACCCCTCTGACCCTATCATTGACTCCAACCCCTGTCTGTCTCTTTGTCTTCTCTGAGGTGGCATACTGGTTAATTGGAAACAGACGCAAGCAGGCAGCCGGTCCAGGAGCCAAGCAGTGACATCTCCGCTCCCATCTTGCTTGTTCTTTATAATAACACAGGTATGCTTTCACTTTGGGCGCCAAACATGAGCCTGAAAATCCTCCGTAACGGACGGCTACACCAGCAACATGGGCAGTCCCGTGTGCATGGATTTGAGCAGCTGTGGTCCATTGTGGCTACGGAGATGCAGAAAGTATTAATTTGCTTTAACTGGCGCCTTAAGTCGCTGACCACCTGACTTGCAGGTGTTTAAAAAAAAGCAGCCGGTTTTCCCCACATTCCACTACAAACAGTAATTTCTTCTAAAAGTATTTGTGCTCTTGCTAAGCTATAGGTTAGAGGCTTTTCATACTGTAATCTGCTGTATGTAGGCTACAGCACAGCGCTGGGTGCTTTGGATTCTCCCCCAGGCTGTGAGGAGGAGGAAGAGGATAATGCACGTTGAGAGCCCATTACCAGGAAACATCTGGAATCCCGATCTGATGCTCGGGGAGCGAGCTGCTCCCCTGGGCCCCTCGCGATCCGTTAGGGGAATGATGCATTTAGGCCACTTCACCCACCCACAGACAAAAATAAAGCACAGGCTTGCCACCACAGTCACACAATCAGGGAAATTAAGTAGGGCACATCATGTGGTTATTACACGTATAATGTGGAGTAAAAGCACACGGAGGAGTTTTAAAAGCAAAATTTGAAAAGCGCATATGTTACATCACCTGATCTATGAATGCTGTAAAGTGTTCCTGCAGATGCCGTGTGAGATTTGTGTCAAGGGCATGAAATGTACAAAGACCTCCAATACTCTCAGTAATACTTCAATTTAACTAATGTCTCACCATCACATCCTCACCTGGTTCTCAATAGCCTTGCGGTTCTTGGGGTCGCCGACGACCGTCAGCTGCAGCTCGGCCATCTTCTTCATCTTCCCGTCCATGTCGATCTTCTGCAGCAGGCCGCGGACCTGGCTCCGCAGCAGACGCACCGTATCCTCCTTCCCCTGGCGCTTGGCCAGCAGCGAGGCACTGGCTGAGTGGATGGCGGTCACCCAGTTCTCCAGGTCGGTCTGGTTGCTGGCCTGGAAGGGCAAAGAGTCACGGAGGGTTGGATTTGATGAAGCGGCAAGGCCAATATTCCCGTTACAAGCTGCATTCAGAGATCCAAAGCCTGATAAATCTCCTTGGATTGCTGCACACAATGTATCACAAAAAAGATGATGGGGTGGTGAGCGTGGCTTTGCGGGATCAATAAAAGAAAGCTTGATTAACCGTGCCTCTATGAGAGAGAGCTGGCTATAAACCGTTGTTTAAATGAAACCTTTATTCTCCCTGTTAAAAAACTGTTTCATGGATATTATACTTTTATCACTTTGGCAACATACTGGTTGAGAAATCACTTGAGCCCCGTTTTGAATGAACATGGCTCATGCTCAACAGGCCATGTGAATGGAAACAAAGGGATGAAACCAAGGCTGTCTTCATGTCACTGACTTGACTCTCTCATTGCTTGCCTCTGGGGCCATGTCAGCTCCACACAGAGCTTTTTTTTATTAAATGTAGGTCTGGACACCGCGACCTAGTGCCGTCTGGAAAGCTTGTGATCTTAAGTGGAGGAGGTAGCGGGGAAAGGCCGGGTTTGAATTTGGTGGGGATATGTAGGTCAGTAAGCACAACGGGCAAATTCGATGTGCTCTTAGACCCCTTAGTTGGAAAGTTTGGCCACTTTGCTCGCAAGTTCCTCACAGGCTGAAATTTCATATGCTACACTCGAGGGATGGGGAGCCAAAAAGTGTGTGTCTGATATAATTCAACCATGTTCTGCAAGTGTGCACTGTGGGAACATTCTGCATATTTCTGTTTCCCGACAGCACGTCTGCCGCTATAGCACAGAGCTCAGCTGCCTCCTCACCAAAGGTAACATATTCAACAATAAATGAAACTTGTGTAGGATAACATTCAGGAGAATTATCACAGATGGCTTCGCTCTGCTAACAACAAGCAAAGGATTTCAGACAAATGTTCAGTGTCTGAGCTGATGCGCTTCACCTGGAAGAGGTAGACGTCTCCGTACGAGTTGCTGAGGCAGAACACGTTCTCCTTCTTGGGGTGTTCGGGGACGGCCTGGACGATGCTGTCCTCGGCCAGGAGGGCGTAGCGAGGTGACAGTTCCTGCTCTGGAGAGCCTTTGCCGTAAGTTTCATAGAACAGCAATGTACATCCTGCGAAAAGGGGGGAGGTGAGAAGACTGAGAGGTGAACACGAATGTACACGAGCAACAGATGCAGAAAGCTGCATGTCAACTTGCAGAGTTTCTCTGAACTGTTGTTGTTGTTACCAGATAATTTGTAGACATCTTACTAAACATTAGAGGTTGACCAGCTATTGGTTTTGCAGATTATTGCATCTGATATTCAGCATTTTTTTTAAATGATCAGATTTTTTTAAAATTACTTTGCAATAAATTAAATTCATTCAAAAATACAGCATTCTTGTTTTCACCACTCGGCAGTTTTGAATAATGTCCCGCCCACAGCACAATCTGATTGGTTACTAGTCACCAATTATAGTCCGTCAACGCTAAAGAATAAACGTCAGAAAGTTGTCATTTAACTAAACATACCTGAACAAACAAAGGCATCTCAATAAAATTTGGTATTGGAAATTTGTGTTTTTCTAAATTTTGACACCAAGATTTTCATTTTTACTGCAAATGTACGTAAACAAAACACATCAGTCGATCCCTGGTAAAAACACCGAAGTAAACGTAGTAAGTAGATTTCAGCAAAAAAGCAAAGTTTCACATACACCAAGGAGGCCACTTGGAATCATAAAACTTACAAGACCGTCCCTTTTTATCCCTCATCTTTTTCGTACAGAGGTTATCTTTTATACATACAGTCCTATAAAGGCAGTATGTGAACATACAGCCACATTTCACAGGCTAATTTTATCCGTCTGGCCCGAAGCAACAGCATAATTCCCTGGAAGTGTTTAGGGTAGGAGGGAAGGACAATCACTTAGTGTCAGCTGTGATGCTACAGTCAAGGACATGACTGCTGTTGAGAGAAAAGCCCGGAGCATAAACAGGAACCTACCTGCCTGTCAAAACTGAATTAGAGAGTGGAAATTTGGATAATCTACTTAACTCTGGATTTTTCTGAAACAACAAGTCAGCGGTTTCTTTGGCTTATTTTCAAGTAGAGAAGATCCAAGCTCACCTTTCAGGGTCACCCAGTACTGCTTCCACTTGCGGCGGGTCACCAGTTCCAGCTTCCTGTCCTTGTGCAGGGTGACAAGGGGTTTGAAAGAGAGCCAGCCGGCCCGTCGGACCACCCCCTGCTCCTTCTCAAACAGAAGGTCCAGCTCCTCCAGGGAGCCCTCGGCCGACTCGCTGCTGCTCTCACCCTCCTCAGTGCCTGTTGACGGGTCTCTTCTCTCGCCTCCTCCTCCTCCTCCTCCTCCCTGTCCGGCGCCAGTCTCCAGTTCCCTCATGAAGTTTTCGTAGATGTTCTGGCGGAGGGCGTCGCTGGTTGTTTGGTGAATGGCTCCTGAAGATTGGGCCCTGGATGCTCCGGGGAACCAGAGGACGCTGGAGACCTGTGAGGGGGAGCTGGTGTCTGCAGTCAGTCCATCAACCCCACTGTCAAAGGCATCGCTCAGGTCTTTGTACCTGGTCTCCTGTGGAGGCAGAAATAGCACGAAAAGTGTCATTAGAGGAGGGTGAGAGGACAAAGAGTGAATGATCTGAATATCGTGACAACTAAATATTGCAGCGTTATTGATTAGCTGTCAGTGGGAGTGTAGCTCCGGTTTGTAGGTTTCACACATTATTATTGAGATTCATTGTTCACATCTACTTTCAGGCTAAACACCCCATGTTTGCCCCCAGACGTACAGATTTCTGTACATACAGCAAGCTTCTGTGAGCCTACATTGGGACAGAAATCAACTGTGCTCCTTTCAATTAGCCCCAAGGCACTCCAAAACTTTTGAAAAATCTAGTCAAACCACTCGAACCTACTTCAAAGTCTGCATTACAGTCTCTAAATTTTTCGCTAGGCTGAGAAGTGGGACAAATTTCCTGTGATGGCACCTGGGAGGTTGGAACCCTCCAGGCTCAGACAATTTCACGTCATTTGAGGTCTGATGCGGCTTCCCAATTCCCCAAATGAACACTTGATGGAATTGCACCCTTTCATGCCTAATGACAGCCTACCTACACTTGAGTAGATTGCAGCATCGATTCTGCCCCTGGCAACAGCGTGGAGCACTCTCAACATGCAGACGCACAGTATGTGCTGTCATGCCAGAACTCATTTTCCATTTTTTTTGTTTACTCATGTGTCTCACTCAGCTCCGTCCACATCTTCTCCGTCCTTATTCATGTTTCATGCTGTTTTTACTGTCCCTTTTCCATATTTAGCAAGCAATTCAAATTTTTTCCCCTCTTACATCCTGTAACAAGACAGCTCAGAACTCACGTTTAACATACAGAGCAGCAGTGAACTCCCTGAACTCAGCGTTGAGGACAGCCTTTGTTGGAGCATTATGTCCACCTGCCACCATAAAACTCACACTATTTGTATACTTTAGCTGTAGGAAAATGCGCGCTGTGCACAGGGCGTGTCTTTCTGCAGTTTCTTTTAGCCAGCACAGCACCAAATTTATCCTCCCTCTCCCAGTTCTCGTCCAGCTGCTTTTCATTACAAGCAGGTTCTTGGTCTTTGGCATCAGGGTCGCAGTGTGACCTTTAAACCCACAAGTCCAGGTGGAGGGGAACCGGAGCTGGAGGTGCTCCTGATTTTGGTTGACCTGCTGAAAGGAGGCCCTTGGAGATGTATGGTACTTGGAAGTTTGGCAACAAAACAGCCCCTGAATGACAGAGGAAATTAGGTCTGAAGGCCAGTTTTAAGCATTTCAGTGACTTTAATATAAACTGGCGGCAGGCCTCATCAGTGCATTCATACAGATCTAGTCTTTATGCGCGTTTCTCTCTAAAACCAGATCCCTGCTTGATACAAATACCTGTAATTAGCAATTCTTTTGTTTTTCAAAGTGTCTTACAGATTTCTACAGGCTGTAAAGCAACCTTACAGCAATCTGATTTCTGGGTAAGCAAACAAAAACTAAACTAGACGAAGGAGTCCTAGCCTGCACCAACACATGGCCATAAATTAGCATGGTGTTATGGCAAGCAGGAGCTTCAGAGAGGGGCATTATTAAAGGAAAGTGAAAGCTGCATAACGCTCAAAATGAATACTGCCAGTCTACTGGATATTTGTCACCACAGGGTCAGGTAACAGTGTCACGGCAAAGCATCTCATATATTTCCCTCAAGATTATCTGTCGTTTAAACACAAGGAGAGGCTCACAGATTGTTACACCAGCAAAGAAGAAAATGCCTTCTCAATACTCCAATTGTTCCTTTCTATCCTTTGTTTTGCTCTAACACCCAAATGACTGAACACCAATCCCTATTAGCAGATTTATTCTCTGAGGAACGTGAGGGGAGCCCAGAAAATCTGCACACAACAACCAGAACAACCATAAGTCATTCATTAACATTAGAGGAGGGGTGGAGTTAAATCTTCAGTGAGGATTTAGTTTCACTCTGCAGAGCCTCTCAAAGGCTTACAGCTATTCTCTTGGCAGTACCCAAACAGCATTCTTAAAACTTTTACAAGGCAAAGCTAAACGAATTAACGCAGAGACAATTGCTTTCAAGCCTCAAAGACAGAAGGGGACGCGGGTTCAGGCTCAGTTTAAACAAATGTTTTATGTCAAATTAAAGCTTGTGAGAATGTAGCATTAGTACAACAAAGTCACATGGTTCTTGGAAACATGTGTCGGCAACATGCAGACAAGCTGTGGTTATTTCCAACCTCTCCTCTGGCCCGTGTCTGTATGGTACAAGTATCATTTTACCCCTGGGAAATCATATATGTAAATATCGGCTGACTGCTCTGCGTCTCATATGCATTTCACGCTCGCATTCTGCTACGGTTCAAAAACAACTTTCTCTCAGATATCAGTAAGAAGAAGCTTTCAAAACTTGTTTTACGCAAATTGTAATTAAAATCCATGCAGCTAGATCGACACTCTTACAGCGTACACGTTCGTCTGATTGGATACCGACAAAGCCGCTAAACACATCAACATGCACTGAACGCTAAACAACTAATCACAAACGATCCGTAAGTGATAATACTTTTCCAATACCCACCCAAGAAATGTCATCGAGATATCTGCATATCAGCGCCTGGCTTCTCTTCCTCGGAGGATCATCCATGTCTTGCATTGTATTAAAAGTCACTCCCATCCTTATCCCATCCTCACAAAAACAACAAGACCCAGCGCTGGCTGCCTTACAGATTTCATTTTGGGCCACCCCACTGTGCCCTGTCCTCAGACAGCTGGTGTTGTGGTGCTAAAAGACCAGAGGACGGTGGTTGGTTCCCACTCATGCCAGGACAACCGCTGAGGCTCACGATCAAATAAACCTTGCCAGGCAGGAAGCTGTCTGTGCATCGTTGCTACTCTCTCCTGTCTAGAGTTAGTTATGAAGGAGCTACAGAAGATGGGATAATGGTGAATTAATATACTGAATGCTAAAACAACAGGAGCTGGCCATGGGTTATGAGGTGACTACCAACACTACATCTACGCAGCCTATTGTTTCACATACCGTGTAGGTAAGATCCCTGTATGAACCCTGTGAGTGATAAAGCAGCATAAATCATTAAAGACTGCTGAGCACAAGACAAACTCTATATGAGCCCAACACCGACCCCAATCAGACTCACCTGAGACTTCCTCTTCTTGCGGCTGAGGCTGCCCGTCCAGTCACTGAGGCGTCTGATGCGGTTTTTGATGGAGTCCTTCTTATGGAAGATGAAGTCCAGCCCAGCCTGCTCCTGCTGCGGTTCCTGGTCAGCGTACTGGTTCAGGTGCTCACTAATGGTGTGAGCTTTGGGCCTGCGACAGGGTAGGGTGTACGATGAGTACTGTCGGGCCTCTAGGTTTTCCTCCTCTAAAGGAACATCCAAGACAGCGGCAAAGGAGGCTCGGTGTTGTCTCTGGCCTGGTGGAGGCTCCTGTAACTGGGAGGACAAGTCCTTGGCTGTGGGGAAAGTAGCAGCCATTGTGGAGTCCCTGTAAAGGTCTGTGATGGACACAGGAGGGGACTGTTCTGCAAAGGAGTCAAGCTGGTGGACAGGAGAGTGCACTAAAGTTCTGCTGGCAGGTTGGTCCTGCTCACAGAGCTCTGTGCTGGGCCCCCAAGGGGAGTCATACCAGGAGCCATCAGAGCTTAGTGAGCTGCCCTTGCTGGTCCTTGCTGTGGAGGAGGTAGAGGCTGGTGGTGGGCCACTGCAGTGGTCATCCTGCCTACTACCACTGGAACCAGGCAAACTGGGAGTGGAGGCGGACTCCAAATTGGGAGAGAACTTGAGGAGCTGGACGGGGCCAGAAGCTTCGTCCAGTAAGAGGGGATTGCCTGAGGTGTTGGTGAACTCCACTCTGAGACTGCCATCCTTCTTGATCACCACCCTGGGGCTGCTCTGTTCCTCTAAGCCATCATGGTCGTCACTGTGTCCGTTAAGCTCAGCACCGTACGGATTTTCCTCGTAGTCATCTGACATGTGCCGCCGTCGTATACCACATCCAGGGGACCGATGCCAGCGATGCTCACTTGGGCTGCCCCTCAGTCCCTTGCAGACAAAGTCACAGTGCCGGGCAGAGTAAGGCGGCCGGCTTTTAGGAGGGGACAGACAGCCACGGCCGACACACTTGGCCTTGTACCCTGAGCCTACTGGGGCGTTTTTCCACCACGTATGGGGTGACAGAGCATCGTCTTTGGCTGAGCGGAGCTTCAGTGAATATGGCTTCTGTTTCCCAGGGAAGATAAAGCTCGTGCCTTTAGGGCCCTGAATGCTGTACTGACTCTCTGAATTTCCCATCCTGCCCTGGAAAAAAAAAATAAAAGGGGAAACAAAACCGTAATGTCATTAGCATTGTACAGCTGGAAAATTCATGGTACTCACACATAAGGCAGTGTAATATATATGACATGGTATGACATAATGCCTGTTCATCAGAGACATAAAATTAACCTATTACTCATAAACAATAATGGGCACACATAAAGTCATACCATACACACACACACACGTAATCATTTAGTTTGCAGTGGCTGTTTCCCGAATAAAACAGCAGCAGGTATAATATCTTCCTTATGCCTTTCAAAGAATATAGCCAGCTCTATCACATCTGGTCATTAAGGTGTAAAGTCCACCCCCCCTTTCATTTTACTACATTCTTTCATTGTACCTCCAGAAAAGTCAAGTGAGATGAACAGGCTTTAGGCTGCCACGGTTGTTATGTGTGACAATGTTCAGGACAATGAAAAAATCACTTCCAGACTGCCCACAACACTCTTACATTAGTGACGGAGAGCCGTGACCAGACAGATTTTCATTAGAGAGCTATGGAACAGATCGACTGAAGGGCGCCGGGGAGAGACTCTTGCTGTATCTTGTGCTGTCTGTGATGCGATTACATAACGGATGCAGGCGAGGCCAAACACCTTCAACGAGCCTCCGGTCTTTGAATTAGCATACCCATAGATTAGGAGCTAAAACAAACCTGTTTACAAAATGTGAAATGGATGCAACATCTTTTTAAAAACCAGCTTAGCAACACACCACATTATAGATGATGGTGGTGTCATAAAACAACTTAAATAATGACTAAACAATATTGAAAATGACCAAAATATCTGAAGAGAAAGTAACATTCATTCATAGTCAAGGCTCCTGATTAACTTTCTACATTGGTTTCAACTGTGTGTCTAAAGTTTTATTTACATTCAGATTTCTCACAGTGAATAATTCATATTAAGCAATACTTTTTAGTCAGTTCCTGTACATGCTGGTAACATCTTATCACATTTTGCAAATCATTGTGAACAAAATTGAAGGTGCAAATAAATGTTTTCTACATTTATCTCTTTTTTAAAAGGATGATCTTGGATTTAAGCCTCACCAGAGGTAATAAAATGCAGCTCTTCTTGTCCTATATTGTAGCAGTGTTAAAATGTATTATCAAATCACTGCTTTGTTTTGCTGGTGCCTGATGCTGAAACACAAGTTTTGGGGATGCAATTTACAGGTACCCCCCTACATGCACCACATCCAGACAATCTGCAGAGGCTACAATTTTCCAAAGTTCCCTAAACACCTCACATGTATCGGCAGATGCTACTACGTGGTTGTGCAAAGAGACGCCTCTAATCTCTGCTCAGTTACTGCAAAGCAGCAGCTCAAACAGAGGTGTGACCAAAATTAGTATGAAAAGAGTAACATAAGCCATTGTGGTGTCTGGTTTACCCAAGATGAAACCAAGTGTTTGTTAGAGGACAGTCCACCAAGACGCACACAAGGACAGACCTGCTGGAGGCCAGGTGCACCAGTGCAGCCAATGAAAATGTTTAGTTTCACTTGACAGATTTTTGGTTGCATTTGGGACTAAAATGGTCATACTCTGGAGCAGTGACAGTTGTACACTATGGCTAACAGAGAATTGACAGATTTTTAAGATATTTTAATTTGAGAGTTAATCATAATCAAGCATTAATACACTGACAACTCAGACATGAAGGCTACAGCTTTTAGACTCACCTCTCTGAAAGTCTCTTCTCAGATTGGAGGTTCTATGTTGACGGTTCTCTTCGCCTCATTTCTCAGAACAAACTCATTCCTTTGTTGTCCGGTTCATCTGAAAGACACGAGGAGAAGTGGACTTAGTCTCTCTCCGTGGCACTGCAATTTACTTCATGTAATGAGCTCCATGTTTGATAACAGGTGCGCCAGTTAAAGAGTAGACTTAATCCCAGGATTTGGCACAGGACAGTGTTTGGTAGGCAACATTGCTTGTTTCTTACTGAGATCAACAAATCAGTGCAATACTGAAACACAACTACGGCTCCACCACGATCTGAGATCGTCTCACGTATGAGATTATAAGGAAATTTAAAAAACAAACTTTGCAAAAAGGTTTGAAAAAACAAATGATACCGACAATGCCCCTAAACAATTCCTCTGAACATGCACGTAAAAATTCAAACAAATCCAATAAAATTCAACTTGTCATCCCAGTAGCGTCACATCAACCAAGCTTTGTACTGTGCAAGGCAGCACAGTAGAGCACTGCCACTCTGGCAGAACTTCACCCTCCCCAAACAGCCATCCAAACCAAACATTTGTTGCATTTTTCCACCTCTCCGCAAGTAAATGACGTCGTCTTTGATCACGGTTGGAACATTTTTCAAAGCCGGCTACAGTTTACCCGTCTGTTTATTTTTAAACCTTGGAATCTTAGCTTACTCCTTTTTTTTTTTTTTCACTTGTCATCGCCAAATTTGTCCAGGGGCAGGATCCAAGGAGAGAAGAGTGTCTTTGCGGAGGCACCAGGCGTCTTGTAGCAATCTTGAGGCAGCGTGACTCTGTCTTGTGTGTGTAATACAACCCGACTGCGCGCATGTACCTCTCGCTCCCAAGAAGGCTCCTTTCAAACAGCGCTAACTCCACTAAGCCTCGCAGCACACGTACAGCATGTGTAAGGTTGCAGCGCAGACAGCCCGCTGCCAAAAGCCCTAACCTTCTGGATTAAGTGATCTGTAGCATTAAGAGTTTATCTTCTGCTGCTTGGATGCACCTTGACTGAGAGGTGAGATTAAACGGTGTTGGCTGAGTAAATGGACTACCGTTCAAGGGTGTGCTTCATACATTAATTTGAGAAGGAAATTCCAGTGGCTCTGGACGTTTTAAAGGTGACTCGCAGAAGGTGCAAAGTTCAAGGACGTGGCAACGATTTAGGCTGCTACGAAAAAGAACATGACAAGGAGGGAAATTATTCTTTTCTTCTGCAACTGTTTAGAATAAGTGTGAAATAGTAGCACTTGAAAGTACAGTGGAAACTTGGCTGGAGACGCGCAGGCCTGGTAATGAACTTGAACCATCACTCTGAGCTGATCAGGGGATTATCTAAACACTTCGTCATGAGTTAAAGGGAAAAGACGCTGAATACAAGCAGCACTGATGCTGAGAGAAACAGTCTGGGCACTATAATCCTGAACCCACCTATGTAAGCTGCTTTTTTTCCCCAGTAATGCACCAATAATTTCGTCGCACTAGTGGACCCACAGTTCATATGAATCCTGGACAAAGCCAAGCCAGGAGTGTTTATGCACACATGGTCAACTGCACTTGAATGATCCAGCTCTAAACATTTCAGCCCCCTTCATTAACCTAGAAAACCAGTGGGAAACTGGCATTTTTTTTTCTAACTGAACTCCTCTTTATCCCTTCATATCCCACATCTAAAACCTCCACTGTGCACACACCACCTGACTCTTAACGTCTGCTGGCATCACCACTTTGCACTGACAGCATAAGAATATTTAGTCTTGCATCCAGAAGCTAGAAAGTCAAGTTAAAATGATTAAAACATGAATAGGACAACTAAACAATGCTCTTTCTGGAGCGAAGACTGAGAAAGCAGCTGCCAACAACACCAGCAGTCAACATAAAGCCGGTTGTCGAACTTGTCACAGTGACTGCTTTCTTTTAACGCCACTACTTGTGCTTTTCTTGCAAAGTTTATTCAGGCAGAGCAGGGCTGCGAGTATGAAAGGCTCAAAGGCGTGCCAACACACAAACCCTAAGACACACACGTTCGCCTTCTGCCGCGAGTTGAACCGGAGTATTGTGCGACTATTTGGAGAGAACAACAAGACAAGTCTTCCTTTTAGCTGCAAACCACGGCGCCCAGTCTTGAACTCTCCCTCCCTCTTCCCCTTCACTCCTCTGTTCTCGTCAAAAGGCTTCCTACAGGCCATCTGCTCAGGGGCCAAGGGACCACTGCCACCCCATCGCTTCTCGGCACACCCCATGACCTGGCATTCTTCTCGAGCTGCCCCTGGGCGACTCCTACGTAAGCTCCATGTTTAGTCTGACACTGTGTCTGTTTTAGGTTCGGGATAACGGCGAGGAACGGGCCACACCTCGGCATTGGTATAAACACATTAGGTACACTAGGTGTTAAGTAAGTCTTTTTCCTTCTTGAGGACCACCATGCATTTGTTGAACAGGAGCTACAACTTCTTTCACAGACCCAAACTTGTGCACGCAAAGTCTGGATGCTACATTTGGAATTCCGACCCTTGTGTCCTTGAATCTTGAGAAACAAAGCAGAAGAAACAAACTATTGACACAGCAGTGTGAAACACGGGGCAATTCCCAGGAGAACTAAGCCTCACAGTAATCATGATGCTGCTGGTGCTGTTTTTTTGAACCAACTCAGCCATAAAATCTTAGATTCAGAAATCTTGCTTGACTTTTTCAGTGGTTTCCCCAAATGAGTACATTCAGTACAGCAATCATGGTGAAAATATAAGCCATCCATGTGTCGCTTTGCTTAGTTAGCACGTGTTTCTGGTGGAAAAAATCATAAATCAGCAACGGGTTGGTCCGTGTCATTTTATGTAATCACTTTCTCCGTTCGGTGCTTATTTCAAATGTATGTATGGGAACATTCAGTATGTTCAGGAAGAAAACATAGAAGCAACTTGTACCAACTTTGCACCTATAATGACAATATATAGATCGCTATGCACATCTGTTTTTAGGACCACAGTTTTTCTGGTCCTATGAATGAATCCACATCAGCACTGTTGCATGTCAAAATAGCAAAGAACTGGAACCTTTGCTTGTCGTATTTGCCAAACATGAAATTCTACTGAAGTTAGATACCTCAAAAGTTACTAAAATATCGACCAAAGGCTGTATTTTTAGTAGGAAATAAAGATGCATCCTCATTTGAAACTTCTGCACTTTAATAATTACAAATTTGGCTTCTGCTTGGAGCTATCTGACCATTTAGATCTGTTGGAAATAACTTAGTCTTTGTCCTCACTAGATTTTATGGCTGTGGGAGCTTTATTTCAGGAAACATTGAACCCTTTAGATGTCTTCCCAAGTAATATGTTTTTAGGGGTTTTGTGGAGACTAAAAATAGCAAAAATCCCAGGTCTGACTGCATACGTAATTCTCAAAATTCAGCCAAACTATTTTGCAGGACTTAACTTTGGCTCCTAAACTCTGAACAAAATCTGAGATGGTGCAGCAACACAGTTCTTAAATTCTGTCTGAACTGACACAGAATGACCCCGATGTAAACGACAAGTCGCAAGCAAAATTTCATTTTCTTCTGAATTATTACGCTCTGAATCGGGAGCTCTGAGGTCATTTGTTATTGGTACTGACTGTTAACACAATCGCGCTGCCTTCCTCCTGTCAAATTGCAGCCCATGGGATTTGTCTCTTATCACTTTCCTCTGGCGCTGCAACAACTGAGCTCTTAAAGGAGCAGCGCGCCTAAAGCTTTAAGTCACAGCTTCGATTCAGACTTATGCAAAACAAGTTCTTTGAGTGCAAAAACAGGAAGAACAAGAGAATATACTGTTATTTGGAGCCAAAGACCAGGCCGTCTCCTGCTGAGTTTTTGTCATATGAAGCAGATTTGAAGTATCCTGCGGTTGTTTGCTTATGAGGAGAAATGTCTATCTATGAATCACTCGCTGAAAGCCCATATTACTGTGTGGTGGATCCAGCCAAAGCCACCAAACATCCATCAAAGTGCTTGTTAAGTGTCTCTCGGACTTTTCATTATACATTTAGAAGCTCTGCGCCTGGCTCCCGACCAAAAATTACATGGCAGCCTTCTGAAAGATTTATACACGTATGCCACTGCCATTCCACAGTGATGCCAAGAAAATGAAAATGTTTCCAAACACATTCAAACAATGCGCCCCCAACAAGCGAGCACGCAACAACTTCAGCCTGAGATACGAAGCCCAGACAAGGCGGTGAGTGTGTAAAACTCAGTTATTCTCATGAGTCGAAGTGAGTCAGGCATGAAATGCTAACAAAACTGAAACACACTGGCAAGAAGTGATAAAGTCTGAGAGTGGGAAAGGTCACTTTGTTGTATCTTTGTTTACAAGGCTGGAAGTTTATACAGTGAGGCAGACCACACACTAGATAAAAACTGAAGCTTCTATCAAGCTGCTACAGGTGGGAACTGAACAGCACTCACACATGCAAACACACAATGTAAACCACACCTGTGCGTGTGGACAATGAGGAACACAATGCAACCTCTTCACTCCAGCCTCCTCCTAATCCAGTAAATAGGAGAAACAAAGGGAGAGAAAGATAAAACACAGAGTCCATAACATGCCTTACCTCTGTGGCCCGGCTTTAATCTAAAAGCTCTTTGAAGAGCTCGCAAAGGAGAAATCTAGCTGGTGTTCTCTGATCTCAAAGTGGATTCTCCCAGCGAAGGCTTGTTGAGTCTTAAAGCAACACACACACACACACACGCACACTGCATCTGACTCACAGACACACTGGAGGACACGTGGAAACTCCCTCCCGGCTTTGGAGGGAGCAGCGAATCACAATCCTCCCAGGGTAACCCTGGGTAACGGAGCGCCAAGAGGAAAAGCCAGAGAGCAGGGAGGAAAAAGTGAAAAGTTCTCAACAGAAGAGCTCTCTCAGAAGGAGAAGCAAGGATGTTTTATAGCTCTCATCCATTTACAGTCCCCCGCTGCAAGAAAAAAAAAAAGGCTCCACTACTCAACGGTGTTGTTTTTCCTATATCCAGCTTTTCCGTTGGCTGGGAGGAGGATGCGGGGCTCGATGCAGCCAAGGCGGTTTTCCACAGCCGTTTGAGGCGATTGGCCGAGACAAGCTGGCGTGTAAATGGCTGCAGCCCTGCCTGGGAGGCAGCGGGGAGGGCGCAATGACTGGAACTCTTGTCTGACCCTAAATACCACAATGACCCCAAGGAGGAGAGCAGGGAGGCGGGCAGCTACTGGGGAGGCTCAAACAGAGAGTGTGTGTGGATTAATGTGAATGCATGAGTGAGTGTAGGAGAAAAAAGTCCAGCGAGTGAGGAGTGTGAAAAAGAGCAGAGCCAAAAAGGGGGAAATCACACAGGAGAAAACACAGCGAGCGACATGCCTGAGCTGTTTGAATGTTTCTGGGGGCCAAATGTGCATCACAATTTGAGGAGGAGGGGGGAGTTAATTAAAGAAATGAAGCAAAGCGATTCACTGAAATTTTCTGAAAGTGTTGTGACTAAGCTTTATCCCAGCGGAGACGAACCCGAGACCGCCGTCGGTCTAAAAACACACGCATGCCTCCATTTGTCTATGGTTCACATAGCTGTGGTCGCGCAGTCAAACTGGACCCATTCAGAAAGCCACACCAGAACACAGCGCGGCACCAGAACCGGACGCCAGACTCTTCCATAAGTTGTTTATTTGAGAGCAGAATATCGCTGGTGTTCAGGGACGTATCACCGCCACTCCAACAAATGGAAAACATGAGAGCATACACTCTCTCTATACGACTAGAGTCTCTCAGATGAGTTCTTCTCTAGAAAACCATCCAGTCCTGAATGGCTATTCAAAGTCATGTCCGTGCCACGCTGTATGAGCAGCTGTGGAATAGCCCTTCCATCAGCCTGCTGCTTGACATAGAGACATCAGCCTCCGGGACACAATATCGGCAGCGTTCGACGGGGGCTAAACAACATTGTTAACAGCACAATGGTCCTCGTGGACGAGTCTGAGCGCCTCTCAAAGCCTTTTGTCCGGCGGTAGATGGAGGCAGCTAAAAAGGTTTGGTCAACAACACGCTCGGAGTGACTGAGAGGCATGAAAAGAGCGAGGCGCTGAGGAGGAAGAAAGAGGAGGACGCCGCGATGCATATTCATACAGAGCAGGTGCTGGGATTAATTCCACCCGGCCAAATGGTCTGACCCCCTAATTATGATCAATTAAGGCTCCAATAAACTCTGCTCCCCAAAGCCAGATTAAATCCCTCCATACCCAAACTCTGCACACATCTCGCTTCATTCATTCTTCAGCTTCAGCCAAGTTGTAGAAGGTCACACTGCGGCATAACTCATGCTCGTACCTGTGCCCATATGTGCACCTTCTTACCCAGAAGCAGGAATGAAATACAAGGAAAAATACAAGCAAAAAAGTGTATCTAACAGGATTTCACACGGAAGAGATCAAGAGTTGTGTCGGCGTGTGTGGTGGTGACACAGGGTTCGAGGACTTTATCGGCACAGCTTTGCTTTGGGACGATGCTTTGTAGCACCGGGGATCCCATCTGATACCGGGGTCCAGATAGCCCCCAGTGGCCTTTTTGTCGCATGGCTCGATGAGAACAGCGTGACAGCGTCATCCACAGACCTTCTCGTCCAATTTTCGATCACAAATACAACAAATAAACCGACTTCTGTTCATTGGAGCTACTTTCAAACATGCACTGCTTTCCGTTAAGCAGCCTTCTGAATGAGCAGCCTGTAACTTCTTCTGGAAAAGCTGCTGATCCTAGCAGGTCAAACAGCACAAATTAAGAGAAAGATCCGCCTAAGCAAAGTATTTTGAGTTGTGTGAACTGATTTGGGAACATGAGTCTCCTTAAAAATCCCCGAGAGCACAAAAGATGCAGTTTGCTTCCAAAAATATCTATTAAAAAATCAAACTTTACTGCAAAGAAGAGTGACTTTAACAGGTTAGTTTACTCCAGGTTTCTGGGTGGTGACTGGAAGAATCATTAATAAACTCTATTGGTTGTTTGATAAGCTACCAGTTTAGGTTCAGTGTTTATCATTACGCCTTAGACAGCACATTGCATGATTTACCGCCTGATCATGTGTGAATGACTAATAATGTACGGCAGCTCTCTCCATCACTCACGAGCATGTGTGAAGCTGTAACATAAAAGTGACCGATGTATGAATGACAGCACGAGCATATTGATGAAGCCTGCAATGTCACTTATCCCATGTCTGTAAAGGGCTTTTTATGGACTGTTTTACTACCACAGAGGCTGCCCTTACAGTCTTGTTTGTGCACGTTACACACAAACTATAGCATCTTATTTAAAGATCCACATATAGATGATAGATGTTCCGTAGAAAGCATGTAAACCTTTTTAAAACTAACATCACTGACCTTTGTAAATGACATTCATCCTCGTGAACTCCAAGGATATATTTTTGCTCCTGTCACATTTTTACTCACTGTGGGCTCATGTTTCACAGCAATATAAAGTCCTGCACCTCTAAAGAAACAGCCCAACCGTGGCTACTAATAGAGAGCGTGTTAAAAATGTCTTTTGTGAAGTATGACATAGTTATAATGCCGTAAATCATGTAAAAGGCAAAAACGAAATTGAATTGATTTGATTATTTATGTTGCAAAAACTAAAAAAAAGTCTAACAAGCACCCTCAAGTGTTACTAATCCTGGAAAAAATGGTGGCTTTACGTACTATAGATATTTTACTACTTGTTTTTTTACAATCTCAACATTTGTTGCTGTTTTTAATGTATCTTCCACCAGCTTGCTAACACGTTACTCCTCTGTACACAGCTAACACAGCCTGCAGTTCACTCCGAATGACTCTAAATTTTTCCTTAGTTACCAAGACTGTGACTCATTTTCCAAAACGCATGTCATATATTTTTAGTTTAGGGACTGTTGGAAAGTTTGAAGTCTGACCATTCTTTTTGTTTACGCAGTTTCAAGCCCTGAAATGGTCTAATTTTGGCGATTTTTTATTTTTATTTTTCCAACATGGCTGTCAAAGCCGCTTGTTGGGGTTAAGGCTATTTATTGGTACTTCTTGTAACTGAAGGAAAGTGAAATCACTGCTTTATGAGACTTTTTAAGACATCTTTCAAATTACATTACATTTGCCAATTTGGTTATATCACACCTTTGTTTATTGACAAACAGAAACATGCATTTTTTTTATTGTCCTTTTAAAGAGAAATTACAAAACTAAATAATGATGCACCGAGCTGCACGGCACTTCATCTGTTTTCAGCAACCGAAGCATCCATTCCATTAACGTGCTGCGGCAGGCGTCTTAACTTTCCATGTAAATGATTCTTTTCATGCAAAATACATTAATTACGTCACATTTAATCTCCGACTGATTACTTGCAATAATCCATCTCGGATGAAAAGTTCACTGTGGTGAAGCGCCGCTCGTGGAGGGGCGAGCTGACGAATGGGAGGGAGGAAGGGGGAGAGTCTGGGGGAGAAATATGAGTTTTCGGTTAGCATGCTAATATTTCTTGTCTCTCTCATAAACGGCATGACGGAGCCCCTTCCCGTGGCTGGAGGCCGTTTACGGTTTGATGCCATTGATCATCCTGCTCACTGGGGACTGCAGTCTGCGGCAATTTGTGGGGAAAAAAAATATCCACTGGGAGGAAATAAATAGATCTTAATTGCTCGTTTTAGCAGCGATTAGTGCACTGTCTCACCTAAAAACGTGGGATTTAAAACATCAAGCGTCTGGAAATGCACATTTTAATTAGAGGGGAAGTGGGTGGAGGAGGGGGGTGTAGACTGATGGAATTTACTTAAGCTGGGATGCTTTAAGTCAGGGTGAAAGGTCAAGTCTTTTGTTTGGGGGCTGAGTTCCACCCATTTCTGTTTCTTTAACAAGCCAACTATCATATGAAGTAATCCACATGTATTCTAAGCTTAACATCTTAACATATAAAACCATTTGGTGACGAATGTCCTTAAATAAAACCCACTCATATAATACAAAAAAATACATCTAAACATTAGAAGTAAAATATTTAAGATGCCTCTCTCATGTTCTGTGCCATTCAAATCATTCAAAGGTTATCCCTCCCACTATCTCTGCTCTATTCCTGCTCATCCCTCTGTTCCAAACTGTGAAGTCTCTATTTTCTGCCAGCCTTCCCCTGCTGTCAGCTCAGTTCCTTTTCTTCCACAGATTGGTGCTCCTGTCACACAAGGCAGCGCACGACACCGAGAGTTCAGCACCAACTTTAAATTAGCCGGGATATGCGGCTGCGTGCAGGATCTCTGCGAACAAAAGCTGGATGATGCGTGCAAAAGGACAAGTAAAGGAAGAGTAGAAATCTAAAATGAGAAATGTGGTACAAACAACTGACTCAGGACGTCCTCAAGGGGGTGTCGGCGTCCATCCCCTGCATGATCGCGTGCGTTTACATGCACGTGCAACTTAATATGTTAACAACGGGTTAACAGCTCTCACCGAAAAAAGCCTGTGCGTGTGTGATATCTAGCAAACAGCTGGAAGACTGCAGGTGCAAATCAGCTTTCCATCAGCTTCTCTGCTAATTAAGCAGCTTAATGGGCAGAGGAAGGTCATTTTGAGGGTTAAATCCGCGAAGGAAAGACACACAGAGACACGCAGCATGCACTTGAGCTTGTTCCAGAGCTGCAGTATCTGGATTTTTATTTATTTTTTAATG